GTATGAAACCAGTAAATTCCCAGTGGCTTTGTGAGTTGGCGATATCCAGAAATGCCTGTCTGTTGTATGTTAGCAGTGCATAACAAACTGCAGAAAAAGAAAAAGCAAAAAAGAAGCAAACGAAGAAAAAGCCAGCATTCAAGAGTGGAACGCGCAAACACGTTTGCCTCGGTGGGCGCTATGTTGTATGAGCTATTAAATAAATTTTAGTAAGTCTGTTCAATACTTTTTCCCCTGTCGTTCCATTTTATTACGCATAACTCAATTTCTGAGTTGTTTTGGTTTCTTTGTATGTATGGATTACTTGAGCTGTTACCGATATCTGGTGAAAATTTCATGTCAACAGCACCTTTAGAAATATATTTACTGAGAAAAATGGTGATGTGTTCAATACTTATTTTATCAGCTGTATATTATCTAGTATAATATTTTAATTGTTAAGTTAATGTGTGAGCAGACATCACTTAGCCTACTTTACAAAAAAAAACTGAGTCTACACATTCACTGCATCATGTAGCCTAGCCTAGTAGTAGTAAAATATCTGCTTATTGTTAATTGACAAAATCCCAGAAAATATCTAGATGTAATTTTTTGGCAATATCGCCCACCCCTTTAACCTCTTATCTTAGATGTACAGTATTTCAGAGTTGAACATTGCTGCATGTTCCTGTGCAGCAATGTGTTCCCGTTTTGGTTTTGTGAGTAATCAAGCACAGCTCATCACACATGTAGGACCATGCCTACTTTAAAATTTGAGGTGGCAGCACGATGCTGTGGAGCAGGCATCAGCTATAGGAACAAGCACACACAAGGAGTGGTGAGCAATCACTGGAGTCAAGCTGTCAGAAATTTGTAAGGGGAGCTTTTGTTAGGCTACCAGACACATTAGACTGGGGCAACGATTTATATCCCAGCAAGACAGTGATTCTTCAGCATATCACCTAATCAACACTGCTCGCGCTTCAAAAAAGTCGTTAAGTGACCAGCAAAGGCTCAGACTCCCGTTCCAAAAAAATCCATGAAATAGCTGGACACATGCAGCTTGACACTTGCACGACACAGCAAAGGAAACTTCCAGAAGGTTTGCGGATTTATAAAATTTGCAAGCATTTCTCAAAGCATGTCGAGCACCTCACTATTGTGATATAATTAGAGCAGACAGAAAATCTAATTTTAACTAATTTAAATAAATATTTTAAACATGAAGGTGTTGGTTATGACCGCTGTTTCAATAAGTACCTTTTGAGATAATGTAATAAGTTTATAGGATGAGTCATCTGTTTCTTATTCTGCTCATGTAGGTTTTGATTGACTGGATAAATGATGTTCTGGTGGGGGAAAGGATCATTGTGAAGGACCTGGCTGAAGATCTCTATGATGGGCAGGTTCTGCAGAAACTGTTTGGTGAGGACTTGAACCATATGTGGACTTGCTGCTACTGTTATAGTTGCATTGTTATACTTGGCAAAGGGACACATACATAACCAACAGATGCCATTCCTTTATGTGTGCCTATGGGTGTAAACTCTACACTGATTTAAAAAAAATACATGTTCATAAATGTTGAGCTTATTGATATGAATTTGCATGTGTGTCTGTGCCTTCGCTTGTACTTTAGAAAAGCTGGAAGGCGAGAAACTGAACGTGGCTGAGGTGACCCAGTCGGAGATCGCCCAGAAGCAGAAGTTGCAGACGGTTTTAGAACGCATCAACGACTCGCTCAAGGTCTCCACCAGGAGCATTCGCTGGAATGTTGACTGTGAGGAACTGTTCTAATATGTTACTTTGTTTACAGCTGTACTAATGCTAAGTCTCTGACTCGTGCCTTTAATGATTTCACATTCATGCTTGTTAGTTGTTTTTTAGTATTTTACTACTGTTTTTTTAGACCTTTGAGAATACAGTGCACAGAGTACAGTGAGGTGCACTGCATTGTGTAATTGTAGAAGTACTTACATTATGGAGTCAGTGAAACAACACGTTAAAGACGTTAAAGAGTAGAAGATAAAACCCTATAAACAATAATTACATCACCAAGTGAAAATTATGCACACAATCGGTATTGTTGAGATGTTTCTTATCAATGTCACAACTTTTGTTATAGATGCAAAAAGCATACATTTGTTTCTGTGTACCAGCTCTTTGAATTCATTATTTTCAGATAAATGTTATGTCCATGTTATTCCTGCTTCTCCACCCAGTGTTGTCAGTCTGTACATTTGCCCCACCTAGTGAAGGTTATAGGAAATGTTTTTCCAACCATAACAGCTAGCCACGGAGTTGTTCTCAAAAGCTAAAAGCTCAAAACAGCGGCCATCAGGCCAAAGAGGTCACATTCCTTCCCAAAGAGCAAGTAGGACAAAGAAAGAGCAAAAATCAGGCTTAACATATGTTTGATAACAAAATTAAGTCACTGTCCCGAATAGGAAGCTAAGTATGACAAAAGTAAAGCTTTGCCTTCTGCCTCAGGTCTCTGTTCACCACAGCAGTCCAGTTTGTCTGCATTACTGCTGATGCTGCACCGATCTGTTTATCTCACTCCTGTTTCATTTTACCCTCACTTGTGAATAAGACTCCAAGGTCCTTCACTAGGAGCATAAGCTCAGTCCTTATCCAGAGGGTGCTTACTCTCCTCCCAGCTGTTTCACACACAGCTGCAAACTGCCTCAGTGCATGCTGGAGGTCGCGGCCTAGTGAAGCTACCAGAACCACAGTTCTGAGGTTCCCAAACCAGACACACTCCTCTTGTTGCCTGTGTCTCGAAGTTCAGGCCATGAAAATCACATATACAGTTGGTGACAAGGGACAACCCTGACAGAAGCTACCACCAGCTGGAAACATGCTTACAAATACAGCCCTCCCTCAGCCCAGTAGTATCTAGACTAGATGACTTGTAACAACAGCCCTGATACCACTTAAACATTCAGTATGACTTAACACTTCCTGTGGATATCGTTATTCCTGATGTCTATCATTCATTCATTCATTTGCTCAGAAACCACAGCAAAATGGTTCTTCATAACTTGCCTGAAAATAATTTTCTTCGTTATTATCACATTTTTCCAGTTTCATATTTGTAGATCCATGGGTAAACTGCAAACATAAATGACTAATGGTTAGTTTGGCATTCTTTTAATGGTGCCAGTTTGCCAAATGTAAATAAATATAGGCTAATACCAGGGTTCAAAAGCAAAGACCAGTATCTGTAGCTACAATTACAACAGCCCATTGGATAAGCTTTTACAGACTCAGTGGCTTTTTAGAGGCAGCTCTTCCCATGGTGAAAACACAGATGTCCACTTTAAAGTACAATGACCCTTCTCCAACAGGATTTAAATAGCAAGAGGGCTGAGACCTTCACAGATAAACCGTTGGTATTTGTGGCTGTAATTAGCACTGAGGTAGGGGTGAAAAGTTTGCCCACATACACACACACATACCAGAGCAAATAGCTCCCCTAGAGAAATACAGTACATCCAATCCAAATGGAGCTTTAGAATGACATGTGGATATTTGTTCATTCAAGAAGCATAGCCTTCATCTTTGACTTCATGCACAGAGAACACTAGCCACATACCAAGTTGTTGTAAGATCTCCACATTAAAGAATTATATCTGAATGTACTGAATCTCTTACCATTGGATCTTACTGAGCTGCAAGCTTCCAAATTGAAAAGCAAATGTAACCGTGCATGTCATTAAAGCTCACCACCTCTCCTTTAATGGCACTTCTTTATCAGCCTGCTGGCTTTTAATTAATCTTGTTAACTGTAACATATATGTGAGATATGGGGGAGGAGGATGTGGGGCATGAGGCTAAGGAGCAGATTTACTGTACGAGTAAGAAAAATAGATGACACGAGAGAAAAGCTTTCATATGAGGAATTGATTTTGTGAGAGTAGTGCATAACAGAAAGGCCATATCAAATGAAACCAAATAATATGACATTCTGAAGTGCACCACTGCAAGAAGTTTGTCCTTGAAAATCTATTTGGGCGAGATGTCTTCAAAAACGCTAAAGAGCACGGTGAATAGGTGGAATGTAATTGATTGTGCTGTCCTTTTATTTGAAAAGCTTTCTTTTAATCAATTCACTTTTGTTTGTCCCTACTCCCGTCCCCATTCAGAAGCTGTAGAAAAACACTCGTTCCTCATGTAACTTATTTGGATCCTCTTATGCAGTGAGGATCTAATAGGTATATGAAGGCTTTTAGGTTTCTCTCTGTGATCTGCCATCACCGTGGGGCACAACCAAAGGTTTGCTCTAGACACTTAATTGATCCTGATTGTTTTGTGTATCCAAAAGTTAATGATATTTGTTCAAATGACTAAAGGCGTGGTTTAGTTTTTCTGGCATTTTTACTTTAGAAAAGCTTGTGTTTTTCTGACTTTTTTAATTTTCATTTCAAGGCAACTTTTGGAATCTTGTGTTAGTATTTTTCATCCAAGTTATGTGACCTTGCTGTGGAAATGTTTTTTATTCTAAGTTTGTGGGAGGATGAAAAATAATAGAAAATATGCAGTTTGTTATTTTGCAGCCCAGTGCCTAGAGCAAGGTATTCACACAGAGACGTCATTAAAAATACAAAAGACCAGCTTCATAAAGATCTTTAGAAACAGCAGTAAGTGGCTAACGTGTCTATATATGAGTAGAAGATGATGTCATATTTATGTTTCAAAACACTGAGATGTTTAAGGTTTAATATTTGGCTAAAGCAAATGGTTAGATGTAAGTGAAAAGGTTAATTTTGGCTGTGCAAATACAGATCCACACACCAACTTGTTGCATCATTTATAGCATTTGTTGTTAGTTAATACTTTATTTTATTGTTCTTCTGTTATTAATTCACACTCATTTCTCTCTTTCCTCTAGCGGTTCATGCTAAGAGTATAGTCGCCATCCTGCACCTGCTGGTGGCGCTATCGCAACACTTCAGAGCACCAATCAGATTGCCTGACCATGTTTCTATTCAAGTAGTGGTCGTCCAGGTGGGTGTCACATTGTTTTTGAAGTCTGTTTCCTTCAGAACATTGGTTTTATGCAATTGTATATCAAAGATCAAAGTTTTTTTTAATGGTCAATTTGCTGTATGAGCAGGACATACAGAAAAATCAAAATACTGTTTCTCTCTCACCTAACATTGAATGCCCATACCATTTAAGAAACTAAAGTAGAATAAACACAGAATAAATGGAATATGAAAACTAAATTAAAGTAATAAGGATAAACTAAATGCTACAACCTAATATAGGCTGTGAAGAAAGTCAAGACCATGTACAAACAGTGACAGTAGTGAAAGTAATAACAAGAACATTGTCAGGTGGTTACCAGGGGCATAGGTGATGAGGTGCATAATAGCATACGAGATGTACATGGACAACAGCAGTAGATATGATCAAAAAAAGCAGCAGCAGATTTACATATAACAAAAAGGGGGAATGTATTGAGTTTGTGCAAACAGCAGGGGTGGTCTTTTTACATCTTTTTATGTTCTGTGGTGGGTCACAGTCCAGGGACAGGGGGCAGAGGTGGGGAGGTTAGTGAACAGTGTTCAGCATCCTCACAGCCTGGTGGATAAAGCTGTTTGTAAGTCTGGTGGAGTGGGCCTGAAGACTGATACCTTCTCCCTGAAGGCAGGAGTCTGAAGTGGGAGTGTGCGGGGTGGGAGGTGTCATCAGCAATGCTGATGGCTCTGCAGGTGAGGTGGGTGCAAAGGAAGTAGAGGTGTGTTTGAGCTTTCTTGGCCAGTGATGTGATGGTGTTGGTCCAGGAGAGGTCCTCAGAAATATGCACCCCCAGGAACTTGGTACTGCTCACTCTCTCCACTACAGCACCGTCGATGGTCAGTGGTGGATGCTTTAGAGGTTTTCTCCTGAAGTCTATATATATCTCACACCCTGCTGCTGTGAATCCACCTTTGACTCTTTTCCACTTTGTCACCACCTGTTTTTTCTTATCTCAGCCATATTCAGTAAAATGAAAAAACAAAATCACACCTTTGTATACATGCATCATCCTTCCTTTACTGTTTCTCTTTCAGAAAAGAGAGGGCATTCTTCAGTCCAGGCAAATTCAAGAGGAAATCACTGGCAACACAGAGTAAGCAGGCCTGCACTCTGCCATCTGACTCTTTTGTACAACTCACAACATGTTTAGATGCACTATTGCTGGTGAAAAGCAGAATCCTACTCATATTTACTGTCTGCAAAACATTGTATCTGCATTAACAAAAAGGTCTCTGTGTAAGAAATCCTTTATAAGGATCTAAGTACCTTCCCCAGTAGTAATGTGTAGATTTAGCTAATTTGCCTAATTAAAATACGGTCCACTATCCATTTGTATTGTTATTAAATATTAAATGCCACAAACTAGCCAGGTTGATAAGAGTATTGTTATCTGGGCATCAGAGTTCAAATGTATTATAAAACTTGGTTTTCCTGAATAAACTTTCTTTAATATGGTCTAATCATGGGGAAATGGTGCCACTTACCATTTACATTTATTATTTGTATTTTTAGTCTGATGTTTAATGACATGCATTAAATACAGCACAGATTTAGTGTTGAAGTAAAATAAAAGACTAATGGTAAACAGCATTTCCTTTATGATCCAGAGAAACATCTTAATGTTTGATACAAAGCTGAGTCTGATTTCAGGGTTCCCCCTTTTAAAATGCAGACTAATTAGTCATAGGATTCAGAAGTTTGAAGTCTACCCGACTGAACTTGCATCTCCTGGCAATGCGTCATTGTAGATTTCACCCAGTCTCACAAAGACCAAAACTGCCAAGTGACTAGAATTCAGTCTATTTTTGGAAATGGATGTATCAGTTTTGCAACATAAGCATGTATTTCCTGGCTGAGTCTCTGGATCATGACAACCTCCATGATTCATTATGACAAATTACACATCCTTGGCAGGGTATCATGAATTTTAATACTAGTCACAGTACTACATTAATACCAAAATTAGTTTTTTATCATCTGCTTTCATAAACCAAGCATGAAATAAAGGTGGAGGGGATCTCTGTCAGAAACAATCCAATCACAAGGGACACTTAACCACACATCTGACCAGAGCGGAACAAGCAGTTTGTGACATTCAGTGCGACAGATACATTTTGACCAGTGTTTTACTTGGGCTTTTTTTTTATTTTTTACACAAACACAAAACGTTGTGCAGTAATGACTTGACAACCATTGTATTTTAACAAGAGGTATGATGGCACCATTAGCTGAAGAACTAAACAGTTTAAACCACACACACACACTATTTGTTCTTTCTTGCTGTGAGGCTGTCCTGCAGCCTGACAGCAGCAGTGAGGGAGATAACAAGCGCACACATTTTGTCATGGTAGACAGATACACTGTTAATAACACAAACACTCACATGGCCACAGAAATACGGTTATTACCACAGCACTAGTGCCATTGCCCATACCCGCCTGCCTTTGCCATCACAGATTACAACATGAGTGTGTGTGTGCGTGTGCATGCCTGTATGCCTGCCATTTCTTGCTGGCCTGCCCACTGCGATATCTCTTCCTCAGGGACACTCAAACTGCACGGCTCCCTACTCTCCAAAAACACCCGACCCTTTCCAACAACAGCAACATCCCCCAAAGTGCTAACATTGTAATAATAGACAGAGGCCTTCCATTCCCATAGAATCCCTGCATGGACACAGACACGTCTTTATTCGTTGTACTACACAATGTGGTTGTTGTGACCATCTCACTGATGGTACCCAGGTTATTTCAGTATTTGTTAATTAAAATATGATACCCTAGCTACATTAGTGCATTGTCATTTCTGTGACATAATCCCTCCGTTCTCTACGTTACTCTGTGATTGAAACGGAAGCGCTTGTCTTTTATTTCCCCTTGTTTTCTGTGAATATTCAAGCATGAAATTGGCAATAAGCAGGAGCAGTATATTTGACAATATTTTGTCTCTCTTTCTATTTCCTTTCCTCTTTTTCTCAGGGCGTTCTCTGGCAGACACGGTATGTTCATTTCTTTTTCTTTTTCTTCATTTCTGGTTCAGGTTTCTGTAATGTTAATGTTCCCTTGTCCTTTTATCAACAATCTCCACAGAGCGTGATGCTTTCGACACCCTGTTCGACCATGCTCCAGATAAACTGAATGTTGTCAAAAAGGTATTGGGGCTTTTTGTCGGCCGTATCTGGCACCATCATGGATCAAATACATCAAAATCTGGGCCTTTATATTAAATTTACTTCACTGATTGTGACTAAGGATTAGAAAATCCATATCTGTGGAGACTGGAGTGGTGTCTGTGTAGATCGGTTCACCGCTGTTTAAAGTGAAAATAGTCTGATATGATTAGTTTCGTTAGTTGTGTTACTGTGTTTTTGTGTACAGTCTTCATAAATCCCTGCTTTTACAGCTCTACTAAACTAATCTGGGTCTTGATGCAGTTATTTTCAGGGAAGGAACAGAAGTCACTGGACATCAACATTAAATTCTTATGTGTGAAAGTTCATTATTGACCATAAAGTAATGTGCCCAAAAAATGTCATTCTTAAAGCACATGTTCCTCTCAGCTGTTTAGACCCAGTTGTGAGGTCCTCTGATACAGCTGCATTGTGCAAACATGTATTTTTGAATCTTTCTACATTTAAAGTATTAAGGTGTATAAATGTACATTGTATGACGTGTCACCAGCTTGCATATCGACATTTTCATTTGTGTTTTCTCAGACATTGATCACATTTGTGAACAAACACCTGAACAAGCTCAACCTCGAGGTGTCTGAATTGGACACACAGGTACACCACACAGCTGCACACAAGAGAAAAACATTTAGCTATTCATAGGTCCTGTATAATATATAATGTATAGTGATGCTTAAGTGAAAATGTTTTATAGTACTGTAAAATTTACAGTATGCTCCTTACCACATGATTTGCTACTGCTTAAACTTTGGAAAAGGGCACTTCACTATAATCACTAATGTTTGTAGGTGTATTCATATTAACAGGTAACTGCTGATAACAGCAGGCCAATCTGAACATATTCTTTATTTTGGCATTAACATTTTAGTGTTCTGGAAAAACCTGCTGAAAAATTAACATACATCCCGCTCACTCACACTTGTTTCAACATTTCCTTTAAATCACAGGGGGTAAATCCCAGTTCCCTTATTTGAGTGTTCCTTGCTCCTTGATTCTCACTCGATGCAGAAGTTGTTCCATTCAGGGGTGGCTCAAGGACATCTCAGAGCTCTTAGTCCTGCTCTGAGGAGCGAGGAGGCTGCCTGGAGGAGCCATAAGTGAGCATACACGAAAGCATCCTTTGCAGAAAGTCTTTTCTGAATGACATGCCCCTTTATGAGAAAATCAGTTGCTGATTGGACACGTCAGATGAAGGACTGGTGGAAAGGATGTCATGTCTCTGCAAATGAGTTTCCTCAATTCCTCTGTCCTAGCATCTTAGGTGGATGGGACTAAGACGCAAGGAAAAAGATGCAAGTGAGGGAATTGAGATTTACCCTGAGAGCCATTTACAAAAGACCCAGCAGCACACAGCTGGACTGCTTGCCTGACTGTACTTGTTGTTGTTGTTTCAGTTTGCAGATGGTGTTTATCTAGTGTTGCTGATGGGGCTATTGGAGGGGTACTTTGTGCCGCTCTACAACTTTTTCCTCACACCAGAAAATTTTGACCAAAAGGTAACATGTGATTACGTGATTTCATGAATACTACACAACAAAGCTGAATCTCAGTGTTTCTGCCAGGAGTTTTTTCAGGAGCTGCTGGGTTTTTTTTTTTTTTTCACAGGATAGTCAGGACTGTCCACATCAGCCATTTGATGGCTTATCATTATCTCACAAATGTTGGTTGCACAGACTAGCAAGTATTCCAGCACAACTAGAAAGGGCTGGTCATGCTGTTTATTTTGAGATGCAATTTACGACAAGGAAATGCCACTTTATTAAGTTTTGACTTTTTGAGTAACCACCTAGCAGCACCAAGCAGCTATATCTTGTTCAAAGCACGGTAGTATGTCGGTGAGGACGCCGGTGTTCCAGCTGCACATTCTAGCTGTCAGAACCCAACAAGCAGTACACCCCGTGCATCCTTTAACCGTCACCTGACATAACCTCACAGGTTGACACGGGCTGTCCTCCTTTTTCCACTCAATTTCGTGCTGTGTCGTCTCTATTTAGAGGAGGGCGGGGCCGCGCTCTACTTACACACACAGCTGAGCAGAGAATGTGAAGGATCTCTCCACAGTGCAACGATCAGTCCACAACAGAGACTATATGAGCAGTTTATCAAACAGCTGTTGAACAAGCAGAACACAAACCTGCAATGTGACGTCTTCACCACTTTTCCCGTAGTCCACTCACTGTTACTCCTAAACCAATGACTGAATGTCTGTCATGCAACTTTCAAGCTAATTATGGTGTCAGCCTCTTTCCAAATGCCAGCAGTAGGTTTTCATGGTCAAGCAATTATATTATGAGAGAATATTGCTTTTATTGACATTATGGGGAAATTGGTGGAGGTCTGCACTCTTTCAGTGTTGTCTAGTAATGAATATAGAAAAGAGTTGACTTTTATTAAATGGCTCTGGTTTAGCTGTAACCGGAATGCATGAGTTTAACAAATTACAATACACAGATATGAGAGATGTTTGGAGCAGCAGATACGAAGACTTGGAGGTGGGAGGCTCGGCCATGAGTGCAAACTTTTCTTTAAGAAATCCATGAGAAACAGGTTCATGAGCCATCTTTGGTCCTGACCAATAGTTTAAGACTCACTCCTACATCAGTGCCCCATTTCTGAGGAGTCTCGTAGACTTGGAGCCAGGACTCTCAGTAGCTTGATAAATGCCATCCATTTTCCCCAGAGCTCATTCAGTGCAGAGCCATTCCTTCTCTCCAGTGCCCTCTGTAGTACTACAGTATTCTGAACAGGCAATCTGTGAAGACAGCACAATAGCCTTTTGTTTGGGTCTTGGCCAGCAGCCCCTGCCAAGCTACAAAGCCGAATGGGCATCAGTGCTACAATGTACACAACTGTTCTCATACAGACACTTCTGGCCCGGAAGAATAGGCACCAGCCCCACAGCATCTGTAATCTCCTATCGCACAGGGAAATGCTGGATTGGCTTCAAGGCTCAGCTCTATTACTCGGTGTGTGGGTGTGTGTGGCCAGCAGTGTGAGGACCGGTTTGAATTTTAAACCATGAGAGTGAGGACATTTTGGGAAAGTGAGGACATTTTTGCTGGTCCTCACTTTCTCAGACCCCTTCAAAGGGCTGTTTGAGGGTCAAGACCTGGTTTGGGGGTCAAGGTTAGAATTAGGTTTAGGTTAGGTTAGGATTAGGGGAAGGGTTGTGATGCATTTAGTTGGGGTAGGGTTATGGTCTAGGGAATGCATTATGTCAAGGAATGTCTTCACAGAGATGGCTATACAATTTTGTGAGTGTAGTTGAGTGCCTAAAGGACTATCAAGGGTGGCCTGTGAAAGTAGCACAAGCACCAGAATGCACTGCTGCATGCTTTAACTATTTCTTTCCTTCGATTGGTTTTCCACCCTTCTTGCAGCTTTTTTTATTGCCCACAAGTCTTGTTACCTTAAGGGCAGCACACACTGGTGGCACACGAGGTGCATCAAAACAGCTGCACCCATTATTTGCTATGCAATCCCACACACTGGTGGCGAATTGATGCGCATAAACATGTCAGGATACACTGTTCTAGTTCTGAAATACAGGCATAGTCACCCGTTGCAGTAGTCTCGCACTGAATTCATGCGCTCCTGGTGTGTGTTACGAGTGTCACAAAACACGGCATGACACTGCCATGTGTACTTCTCCTTATTCCAGCTGCGCTGCTGTAATAATGCTGTTTGTTCAGTTCATACAACCACATTGTACATGTCACTCTCACACTTGTAGTGCCATGAAAGATCTACCTATCAATGCCAGTATTACTTTCTTGGACTTTGGAGGGCTTTGAGTGACACTGGTGATGTGTATTCATTGATAAATGAGGGTGAGAGTGTTTGAGCAGCTGCCGAAGGCTTATGGACTTACGGAGCAGAGCTGTGTTGTGTTTGCCGATACAGGAAGCTGTGGTAACATGATTGAATTGATCCAGAGTGTACTGTGGGATTTAGCAGGATTTAGCAATGTTCTCTCATCAGCGGGGAGATGTGTTTGGTGGTGTACAGTTTGTACTTCCCCACCTGTACTTGTATGTGTATGTAATAGTGTTTGCCTATATGCACAGTATTGATCATGTCTCCTCTGGAGATTCCTTGTGTCAGACCTGTCCCTCTTTCTTCAGGTTCACAACGTGTCTTTCTCCTTTGAACTGATGCAGGATGGAGGTCTGGAGAGACCAAAGCCTCGGCCAGAGGGTAGGACACGTGTTTAGTACATTTCTGCTTTAAGACACTTGCCTCTTTAGACTGTAAATGTTTTAAATCTGCACTAAATAATTTTTAAGTTAACAGTGGGTGAATTAACTGTGCAATGTAAAACAAATTGCTCTTAATGATACAAGTCCGGTCCAATTCCAATCCTTATTTAGTTCTACTGTCCTGTATATGAGTGGGTTAAGTTCTCTTCTTTTATCCAGCGGTGCTACAACAGCCACCACCTTTTATTAATGCAGCACTGTTAAATAGTCAATACTGTATGTCTAAACTGGACTGTTTACATGAACTGTGGAGTCACATACTGATACAAAGTAGTTAGTAATAGTAGTTGGTATCTGCCCTGAAATGAATATGTGTTGTCTAGCTCCCAGGTATTTTATTCATATCTAAAATTTAAGCTAATAAACTTAATATTTTGGAACCAGGATCTGAACCAGTGTTTGGATCAAGAAGTTCCTGAAAAATACAGTGTTCCAGATTAATTTCAATTTCAACATGACAAATATTTATTGAACATTTACTGTAGGTAAATATAAGTATCGGATCTTAATCAGTATCGGCATATACTTAATATTAAAGGGACGGAAATAAAAAGTGGATCAGGACATCCCTAATAGTGTGTCTATAACTTGTTTCCCCTCCCCCAGATATAGTGAACTGTGACCTTAAGTCAACACTGCGTGTGCTCTACAACCTCTTCACCAGGTACAGGAACATAGAGTGAACACCACATGTTGCAAGACCAAACCCTTTTTACCATGGACCACATGCTAAAGCTTAAAAAGCATATGTTTTTCCCTCTGTTTGTTGTATAAATCTGATTTTATTTTAATGCGTGCATTACATTTGGTACCTTTTGAATAATTTACCACAAAGTTGTTTTGTTTTTTTTAATTCCTACGAAGGCATTTGGGCTTGTATGCCTCTTAATGTTTGGCTTTTTATTGTAAATTCAGTATTTCTTTTTAGTCTTATAGACATATGCTGCGTGTGTAACTAAATGTGATAGCCAATACTAATGTTTAGTTAAGTCATAGAGGTAAATCTGTAGTATAATGCTTTTTGTCATCCTGAATAAATATCATCAAGGGGAGCTTTTAGATGAACAACACTGTCTTTTTAATTCAGAAAAGATCATGTTTAACCATATTTATTTTTCATTTTGATACATGTATTTCCTCTGTTTTGCTTCTGTCATTCTCATCTGCCTGTATTTAACCATGTGAACACTGTCAGGCTACCTGTACTCCCCACTTGTCTTAACCCTCCAGATTTCCTTTGCATGTGTGGAGGAACATTTGAAACATCTGACCAAGACTGATTTCACATTGTAAAACATTAGACAGGCTTTACTCCTCAACTATTTTTTCCATTTTCTTGTATTTTATATTATAATGTGTATCTTGTTTTTAATTGAGGCACATCGGCAATTTGTAATCACTCTGCTGTCTGTAATGCATTATATAATAGTATATAATAGCAGTATAATATCTCATAG